ATCGAACGCATTTGAACGCCTCCCCGTTAAAAAAAATAAAAAAAATTTTTCCTCTCTCTAGTGCGTGCGTGAGTGCGTGTGTGCGTACAATTGAATAACAAACAAACAAACAGAAGAAAAGGCAAAAAGGTAAAAATATAAATTTTATTTTATTACTTTAAAGACAAACAAAGGAAATTCTCAAACGACTCATTACACAAAATGTGAGTAATTAAAAAAATTTTTTTTAACAAAAGGAAAATTTCCAAAAAGGAAACTGTCCAGATAAAACAGGAGCGTATACAGGAATTATTATATCATCACTATTTTAATATAACCATTCTCCCTTTCACATGAAAAAGGAAAATACACTTTTCTTTTTTTTATATAGTAATAGAAATTCACTCGAAATAAAATCTTTTAGAAAAATATATGATAATAATAATAATAATAATAGTCGGTAAAATTGAATGTAAAAACAATTTTTAGGAATAGAGAGAGAGAGAGAGAGAGAGAGTGAGAGAGAGTGAGAGAGATGAAAAAGGTTTTATAAGTGAGCGAAAACAACACAAAGGTGGAGCTCGAGAAAAAAAAAAATATAAAAAAATTTTCTGAGCAGAAAAGAGAGAGAAAGAGAGAGAGAGAGAGAGAGAGAGGGAGGGAGGGAGGATTTTTTAAAGGGAAACCTGTAGGAGAGAAAAAGAAAAAGAAGATGATGATGATGACGATGGGAGAGGAATCCGGGAAATTCATAGTGGGTAGGATGCTGCGTGCGAGAGAGAGAGGAGGAATAAAAAAAAAAGGAATTTCCAACTTTTCTCTTTATTAGGGAAATTTTTCTCGTATTAAGGGAAGGAGTGCGGGGAGGAGGGGAAGGAGGGGGGGGGGAAGGATGAAATTTTAATCCGCCTTATTTTTCATTCCTTTTATCTTGACACGCTTCACACTTCACACCTTCAACTTTAAAATGGATCCATATGAATTTAAAATAGATTAGAAAAATTATTATATAAAATTTTCTGATTTATAAAAGTAAATAATAATTTATGAATATTTTTTTCTTTCGCGTAACTCACCCTTTTCCCCTCCCCCTCCTCCGCCATCCCCTCACCTCCCCGGAGATAAATAAAAAATAACGGAAACGCGTCATAATAATATTTTATATAGGCGTTTACGTTCGAATTTTTTTACTCTCGCAGTTACGGCGCCATTTTTTATTTTTTAATTATTTGTCGTTTTTAATCATTATCAAATTTTCTTCTGCTGCCGTTTTCATAATATTTTCTTATCACGATTCATCTCCTTTTGATAATTTTAACACTCTCATTATTTAAAAAACTTTTCCGTTTTTCAAATTTGTTTTTCTTTTTTTTCTATGTCGTTGACCTTTTTTTTCCCAATAAAACTTTTTGTAATTATTACACGCGCACCCCCTCCCTTCCCTCTCTCCCTCCTTCCCTTTGTCCCCATACCGTGCATTTATTTATGTTTTTCGCAAAACATTTCATGTTTTTGAATATTTTAACCAAACAACAAAAAAAACATAAAAACATTTAACCGTGCGAAATTTTATACTCTCCCGTCGTCGTTATTATTATTATTATTATTATTATTATTATTATTATTATTATTATTATTATTATTATTAATTCATACAATATAACGTGATAATTTCTAATATATGCAAAAAAAAAGGAACAAAACAAAGAAAACAAGAACAACAAAAAAACATTATATACATGATAAGAGAAAAACAAAAAAGAAAATTATCAAAGTAATAATAATAATAATAATAATAATAATAATAATAATTTATTAACAGTTCATTCGTTTGTGTAAAAACAAAAAAAAAGTATGATTATCTGAACGATTATACAACTTAAAAAAAAAAAAAAAATTTCAACTCTTTGAAACCGCAAATCGAATAATTCAAAGAAAGAAAGAAAAGGGGTCCCCCAAAGGCGGTTATAGAAAAAAAAAAAATGGCGGTGTTAATGTTCTTAAATTAGTAGATATGTGGAGAATGACTTTTAATAATACTTTGGTTTAATGGAAACGAAACGAAACGAATAAAATTCTACGTAATAATAATACTCACACGCACACGCACGCACGCACTCACTCACTAGCAGAATACGCATAAATAATAAATTATTTTAAATAAAAAAAAAACCGGAAATGACGTTTTATCAAAAAAAAAAAAAATAATAATTTTCCTTTTTTTTCTATAATTAAACCGCAATAAGTAAAAATTTAAAACAATCACTTACCCAACCCCCAACTTCCCTTCCCTTTTACTTACTTACCCCTGTAAAAAAAATAAAGTTTTTTAAATTTTATTATTATTATTATTATTATTATTATTATATTCCCAATGATGACGATAATAATAATAATTTTTTGTTTTTAACAACAACAAAAAAAAAGAAAAAAAAAGAGATTTCATCTATTAAAAAAGAATACAAATTTATATTGTCACGATTAATTTCGTTATAGATAATGTATATTATTATTATTATCATTATTATTATCATCATTATCATCATTATTATTGAGGGTTTAAAAACAAGGGAGTATAAAACCCTTGAGTCAATTTTTCATCCCCCAAGAGAAAGACCAAAGCAAACAGGAAAATCTTTTTTTCTTCTTTTTTTCCTCCTTTTCCTCCCCCTCCCTCCTATTTCTCCCTTTCCCCTTTCCCTCACTTCCTCCCTCCCACCACCTTCTCCTCCTACAAACAACCTTGTAAAAATCTAAATTTATTTTTATATATATAAAAAAAACCGATTCTTATCTTCTGCTATATTTTCTTTCTTTCTCTCTTTTTAAAAGCTCATTGAATGAACGGACAAATAATAATAATAGTAGTAGTAGTTTTGAAGAGAAAGAGGGAGAGGGAGGGGGTGATGAAAAAGAAAAAAAAAGGGGTAGTAGAAAATATTTTAGTCGGGGCAATAGACGAAGGGAATTTATTTTTTTTTTTTTTTTTTTTATTTTACTAATTTAAATAATAAAAGGAAAAAAGATCGTTTTACTCGGATCCGGTTCCTCGGTTTATTTTTTTTTTTTTATTTATTTTTCGAAAGAGAGAGAGAGAGAGAGATACTGAGAAAAAGAGATGGAGAGGTACTGAGAGAGAAAGAGAGAGATAGAGAGAAAGAGATACTGAATCGAAATATATGTCCCAGCTTTTTTTTATTTTTTTATTTTAAGGGTTGACACTTGTTTTATCACAAAAAATTATTATTATCATCAGCACTATTATCATCATCATCATCATCATTATTATTATTAATAAAAACTTTTTACGAAAACGAAACGTCGACGTCGCCGTCGTCGTCGTCGTCAACAAAAAAAAAACGATTAAAATAAATTTCTATTTTTTTTTTACGTAATTATTACTTAAAAATTTGTTTGTAAACAAAAAATAAACGTGTCATTAGAAAAACATTAAATAATAAAAACTTTTTCCGGTTTTCTCTCTCTCTCTCTCTCTCTCTCGCCATTAATGAAAATATTTACATTTTTTTTTTTTTAAATAATTTAAAATTTTTTTTAATATTTAAAATAAATAAGAAAATGACGTCGAATGTTCCGTGTAAAAAAATTAAATACACAAAACAAAGACTAAATAAAACCGTTATAAAACCTATAAGAAAATGTTGCGGACCGGAAATTATCAGGTACGCTCAAAATAATAATAATAATAATAATAATAATAATTGATATAAAAATCAAAAAAAAAATCAACGATCGATTTAAATCCCCTCTCCCCCCCTTTTTTTTTTTTTGATTTTTCGACAGTAGAAAAAAAATTTTTAATGATAATAATAATGACGATGGCGTCAACAACAACATCAATTTTTTTTACGCCGGAGAAGAAGAAGAAGAAGAAGGTTTTGATAATGTAGACGATGAAATGATAAGAGATAACACGAAAAATAAAAACACAGTAGAACAATTTAGAAAATGGATAGAAAAACAAAGATTTTTACCACATAATTTAAGTTATTATTATTATCATCATTAAAAATCGATCGTTGTTTTATTTAATACCAAATTTCATACAAATTATTATTATTATTATTAATTTTTTCCAGGCAACGAACTATTAACGGTTTTCCTGTCGGGTGCGAACAACGATTTAGAAAATGCTAAAATAATATTTAAAAAATATTTTTTTTCGAGACAAGAACCATCGTATTTGTTCAGCAATAGAAATCCATCGTCTGAAGAAAATTCTAAAATATTGGAAAAATTGTTAACATCATTATTATTACCCAGTAGTTTGTTTGGTTTTTCGCAACGCGCCTAAAAAATTTTTTATGTGTGTTCAGATACGTCATACCTATGCCTGAACCATCGACGAACGGTGAAAAAATAATTTTAATGGGAGCATTAAAAGAATTAACTTCGTATAATTCGTTAGAACATGCTAAATTGTTGGCCATGACCATCGATTTATTAATTTGGGTATTATTAATAATATTAAAAAAAAAAAAAAAACGTGGAAGTAGAATTGAAAAAATAAAAATTTTTTTTTTCAACAGGAAAAAGATTTCGGTTTTGGAGATTTCATCATTATTTTTAGCGGTCGTAATTTTTTATGTCCGCAACTTATGGAAAAAAAATTTGATGATTATGGATCGATAACTGATCAAATTCTGGTAAGGATAACATTTTTTTCGGGGGGGAGAGGGTGAGGGGGCGAGGGGACAAGAGAGGGAAACCTTAAGAAAATTACGTAATGAGTTAATCAAATAAAAAGTTTTTAAAAAATCGACAAATTTAATATATTTTTTTTTTTGTGTTATTTCCAGGGTACAATTCCAGGTACGCTCAGATCATTTTTTTTATTTGATCCACCTAATCACGTGACAAACGTGGCAAAAAGTAGAAATGGAATTTGGGCGAGTAAATTTTTATTTAATTAATTAATTAATTTTTTTTAAACGAAATTTTAAACGAATTTTCCAAAAAAAAAAAAAAAACAGATAAACGTTATCAAAAGTAAAAAGGAAATGATTAGTCACGTGTCAGGAAATAGTTTACCATTTGAATTTGGCGGGAATTTGGGTAGTTTAAATGATTTAACGAGTACGAATTATTTTTTTTTGTGTGTGTGTGTGTGTGTGCGTGCACGATCGTTAACGAAAATATTATTATTATGGTCGCAGATCAATGGCGTGAACATTTGAAACAATGTGAAAAGTTTTTCATATGTTTCGAATCGAACATGTTGAACGACTACAGGAAAAGATTGTGCCACGAAAAAGAAATGGAAGAAGGTGGAAAATTTTGGATAAATAAAATGAAACTCGTAGCCGACGAATGGGAATATAAAATACAATATTATGAAAGAATGAAAAATATGAAACCTTACGAACATCCAGGTCTCCTCTTTTCCTTATTTCCTCTCCCCCCCCCAAAAAAAAAACGCCGCGTGTTTATCATTATCATTATCTCTTTTCAGCGTTTGGTAAAAATCGTCTCCTCAATAATCAACGGAGAAAAACATTAATGAAAAGTATTAATATTTTATCCGGATGTAAAAAATTTTTAACAAAACAAAAAGAAAAAGATGCCATTTTCGAAGTAACTTATTTATATCATGGTTACGCTCCTGAAATTAAAAAGGCAAAATTATTAGCAGAAATGGAAGAAAGGAAAAAATTACTCGAACAAATATCAAATGCTCAACCGATTTTGTCACTCGAAATCGGATGTAAACATTCACTTTTAAACAATTAAACAAATTATTATTATTATTATTATTATTATTATTATTTCCGTCGTGTCGTAAGATAAAATAATAATAATAATAATTTTTTTGTTTACAAATAAAATTAAAAATTTATACGACTAAATTTTTCGGTTATTAATGTTTATATATTAAATTTCGGTCTCTCCCCTCACCCCCATTTTGTTTTTTTTTTTTTTTCGTGTTAAATTAATTAAGTAAAAAGAAAAAGAAGAAGAAAATTTTAAAAAAAAAAAAAAAATGGCAGAGTCGGAAATGGAAGGAGAACTAGGAATAATGGATCCGAATATTCTGGAGGAAAACGTTTGGGAAGACGAAGATGGAAATTTATTAGAAGGAAAAAGGTTAGTTGACCATTGACGTCATCGATGACGTCGTTTCGAGTAATTCTGAACGCGCTCATTTAACCAATTTTCTTTCTCTTTATTTTTAAATAGCGAAAGCGAACCGGAAATAGATTTTCACGAAGAATTAATTAAAATAAATAATTGGCTTTCGAGAGAACCATATCTACCCAAACATTTAGGTAAATATAATCAAAAACCTCCATGCTAACAACAGAAATGCCAACATTTAAATTTTTTTTTTTTTTTTAAAGACGAAGAACTTTTAATAACGTTTCTTTGGAATTCTCAAGACGTGGCAGAAGCACAAGATAAATTAATGAATTATTATTATGCGAGACAATCAATGAAATCCGTTTTCGAAGATAGACATCCATGCAGTCCGAATAATTTACTTAAATACGATGCCGTGTAAGCATTTTTGAAAAAAAAACCGTTATTTCGATATATCGAATTCTCGATACGAGATAACAAAAATATTTTTTTGTTGTCAGGTGCGTCGTACCACTTACAAACGGTTTAGATAAAAAATGGATAATATTTGCCACGTGGTTGTCACATGATGATCCTTCGAAATTTAGCATGTTTCACGTTATGAAATTAATTTTTACCGAATTGGATATACTATTACAGGTGTGTGAGCGCATGCGTATGTACACGTAAAACATTTTAATGCGACGACGCCATTTTGTTTTTTCTTTTTTTCTTTCATGTAATCAAATAGGAAAATCAAATCCGTGGTAAAACCGTATCGGTGATAATAGATATGAAAGGTTTTACCAAAGAACATACGGATATGATAACAAAATTTGGAGCTCATAAAATGTGTTCTTTGTTCACCGATAGTTTTCCCGCCAAATTTAACGGTTTTTATATAATAAACGCACCGCAACACGTATCAGATTATACGACTTTATTTAAACCCTTCGACGTGAGTCTGCCGTTTTTCTTTTGATCTTTGTTGTTTTCTATAAAAAAATCTTTAAAAAAATTATTATTATTATTATTATTATTATTATTATTATTATTATTATTATTGATTTTGTTGTTTGTTTGTTAAAGTTTCACATAGTAAAATATTTAGAAGATTTACCGGGTTTTTTACCGAAAAGATTTTTAACATGCGATTTAGCAGGCGAACCTGATGCACCAACGAGAGAATGTCTATGTGAGTTTTCTTTTACCACTTGAGGAAAAGTTAATTGTTATTTTTCTACTTCCACGTAAATTTTTTTCATTTGTTTTACAGTCGATCCTTTTTTTAAAAGATTAAGAAGGTGCGGAAATTGGTTGGCTTACGAAGAATATTTAAGATCGCAAGAAATGATGTTGAGAATGACGACGACGAGAGCCGAATTTAATTTTGGAGCTCCAGGGTAATTAAAAAAATTTTCCTTTTTCTTCTTTTATCCTCTTTAACGTTTTAATTTTTGTACATCCGAAAAGGCGTGGTACGAGACAAAAAAAATAATTTTAACGGTTATTTTCTTATGACTCGAAGGCTTTTTAAATCGAAAGGTCAACAAAAAAATTTTTACTATAATTTATGAAAGAAAGCTATAGAAAGAGTAGCCATATTTTTTTTTTTTAATAAAGTGCGTGTTACGCATGCTTAATATTTACGCACTTATTCGATAAGTTAATTTGAACGCATTTTTTTTTTCGCGAAAATGTCCGCGTTTTTCCCGCCGTAATTATTGAAAAAAAAAATTAAGAAACACACCGGAAATTGATAATAAATGACGACATTATTATCGTTTAAATAATTACAATAATAATAATAATGATAACAAATAGAATCATAGATTATAATTTATACTACGTTTTGTCTAGATACACGTAAAATAATCTATTATTATTATTATTATTTTCCTTTTCCTTCTTCTTCCACCATTTTCAAAACCCTGCTCATGATAAAATTTATTTATTTATATTTTCTTTTTTTTTTGCGAAATGGCGACAAAAAAAATTTTTTTTTTTTTATTTAATAAATATTTCAACAGCCTGGAGAAATAAAAAAAATAATGATAATAATAATAATACGTAAAACTTGACAGTAAATTTTTTTTTTTTTTTTTTTTTTGGCAACCGGTTACTCCGGTTGTTTTTCACTTTTTTTTTTTTTATAAATTATTTAAATTAAATTAAAGTAAATCGTAACGTACGTTAATAATAATAATAATAATAATGAGTAACATTTTATGTTTTCATCGAAATTATTATTATTATTAATTTTTGTTTTTTAACGTTACGAAAAATAAATTAATAAAAGAAAAAATGCGTGAAAATTAATAGTTTCAATAAAAAGTCATTAGGCGGCGCTCAAGTCGTTTATTTTATTTGGGGGGTGCGAATTTAATTGATGAATTTTTCAATCGAGTAATATTAATAATAATAATAATAATAATAATATTAACGTTTAAATTTTTTTTGAACGATTTGGCAACGTTGTAAATAATTTTCCGCGACGTCGTTTAAAAGGGAAAATGTGAAGCAATAATAATAATGAAATAATTGAAAAAAACCGTTAAAATTTTAACCCTTGTCTTTTTTTTTAAGTGGCAGAAGACGTTTTTCTTTTTGTTTTTTTTTTAAAGAGAAAAAAAAAGAAAAGTCTAGAAATGTCGAAAAATCGATTATTAATTACGCGTGACGCAATTAATCCTCAAACGAAACCAATTAATCTGATGATATTATTATTATTAATGTGACAGTTTTGTCATCATCAAGTTAACTAATGCCACTACTGTGAACGAATCTAATCCCACTTTCTTTTTTTTACAGTGAAAATAAGGATAAGGATAAGGGCAAGAGTAAGGGTAAGGGTAAGGATAAGGGCAAGGGCAAGGGTAAGAAAAAAAATAAGAAAAAGAAATAAATAAAATAAAAAATCATTCGTGCATCACATTTATATACTCGGTGGGCAAAGGGTCGAAGGTCGAATGACCTTTCCTCCCTTCCGCCACCACCAAACATCAATTGACACGTTTGAATATATATATATATATATATATATATATATTTAAACTAGTTTTATTAATAATAATAATAATAATAATTTGTATAAATTAATCGTTTTTGTAATTGTAAAAATTAAATTATAGAAAAAAAAAAAAAAAAAATTATTTTTTTAAATGAAAAAATTATGAAGTGTCATTAGAAAGAAAATAACATTAAATTTCCCAAACGAATATTTTTACAAGTTAAATATACGTATATATCAGATAAACAATTTGATAAAGTTTTCATAAACGAAAAAAACTAACAGTGGGCGTAAACACACACACACAAACACACACGTCTGCTGACACTTGAAACTTTTTTTTTTTTTTATTTATTAAAACTCGCTTATAAATTTTTTATTTATTTATTCCACGTTTTTTTAACACGTTTGTTGTCGTTTTCGTTTTTTGTCGATCTCGAAAAATCATAAACAATTATTCCAAAACTTAAAATTTATTCGTGGCATCAGACATCGATTCATTTAACACTTTACGACGTACAATTAAAAAAAAATATTTTTTTCGTCGAAGAAATCGTAGAAGCAGAAAAAAATCAAATGGTTTTTTAATCCATAAAAAATTTTTTTTATTTTATTTTTTTTAAATCTTAGAATGTTCTAGAAATTTTTTTCTTTAATTAATTAATTAATTAAGTTTATTACGTAAATCGCGGAATTTTTTTTTGCAAAACCTAAGAAAAATTAATTAATTAATTATTTAATTAAGAAAAAGAAACGACCTTGAAAAATATAAATAAATAAATAAATTTTTACCTTTCCAGGTAATTAAATTTTTTAAAATTTTAAATTTCGCGCCAATTAATTAACAAAAAAACCGTTAATTTAAACAGGAAAAGTTATATTTATACTACATTGTAAATCACGTGACTTTTCTTAAATTTCATAATCGTATCGATCGATTAAAACTCTCATTCTCTATCCTTTTCCAAATTACGATATTAATAATAATATTTAACCGTTCGATTCGTACGGTTTTTTTTTTTGTTAATCTACTGCCACTTTAAAATTCGTTTACGTCCTAAAGAAGACAATTAATAACAAAAAAAAAAAATTTATTTTCGTCAAGTGTTTTAAATATTAATAATTTTTATGACGTATCACCGCGCCATTAATTTCTTTTTTTTTTTGTTATTATAAAATACTTTGAGCTTAGTAAAATGTTATCATCATCATCATCATCATCATCATTATCATCATCGTCATTATATTTTAACAATGGATACGAAAAAAAAAAAATTTTTTTCTTTAAGGTAAGACAGTAAAACTTTTTTTTTTTTTTAAAGATTCATGAACCGTAACGATTAACGTTCTCATTACTTAATAACAAAATCCTTAATTTATTTTGACGTGGAATTAGACAAAAAAAATAAAAATTTATATGAAATTAAATGAATAACTTCTGGGTAATAAATCAAATATTTTTTTAAAAAAAAAACGACTATTAACTAAAATTTGTCGTTTTTTTTAAAACTCATTTCCGGTCGGAAAAAAAAATGATATAGAGCGCTATAAAGTGTTGGAAACATCACAAAAAAATTATAGCAATGACTATAATAATATAGTTTGATGATGTAAGGAAGAAACAAACAAACAAACAACAAGAAAAAAAATTGTTGACGGCGTCGGATGGATGATGTTGTTGTTGTTGTTGTTGTGATAAAAACCACAATATCAACCCCCTTAAAACGATGATAAACTTTATTATTATTATTATTATTGTACATTTGGAAGGGTTCTTATTCCGCATGACCGAATTTAACAGCCACGCCGCCAGTTGCTACAGCAATATCCTGCTGTCACATCCTACACCACCCCCCACCACCGCCCCAACCCACCGAGGAAATCTCCAACCCGAAAAATTTTTCTTTTCAATTCTCTACAATTCTAAACTTTTTTTTTGCCTAATCCGTGACCTCCTTTACCTCCTCCTCTTTCTTCCTAATCCTTCCCTTAATTCCTTCTTACCCTTCCCCTCTCCTCCCCCGTCATCTCAATAAAAATCCAACCGGAAGTTTGCAAAAAAAAAAATCGATTTCAAAAATAATGAAACGATGACAAAAATTTTTTTTTAAAATTCATTCGAATTATTATTATTATTATTCTGACAATAATTTGAGTAATTTATTACCCGTATTTAAATGAAGGGACATTGCACAATGCAGCCAACATAGAAATAATAAAAAGAAAATTCCCGCCATTTTTTAAAAAAATTACAATTAAATTATTAATTGTTACTCCTTTCATAAAAAAAAAATCGATGATAATAATGATTTTTATAAACGTTTTTTTTTTATTGTTCGTGGCACTAACTAATTATTTAATGACAAATTATTATCATTATTATTAGCATTCAATAGAGCGAGAGAGAGAGAGAGAGAAAAAAAAATTGTAATCCTTGAACAAAGTCAAATTTTAAATAATGTAAAATTTCAATTTATGTTTAATATTTAATTAATTACTACTTAAAAAGCAAAAAAAAAAATTCAGGGTCGGTTCTAGGATAAATGTCGGAAAAAATTCGAAACGAAATTCGACCAATTAAACTTTTATACCTTAATTCAATAATAATAATAATAATAATCTCTCGCGAATTACATTTCATTTACATTGACGTTACATAACGATTTTTTAATTTTTATATTTTTTTTTTTTTTTTTTGATTGCGATTAATTTTTGCGAAATGATCAGGACCGAATTAAGGGTAGAAAGGGTAAAATTAAACAGGACCGTAATTAATTAACGTTAAAAAAAATAATAATAATAAAAAATTTGTAATTTTCTTTTTTATGTTTTAACGACAAAAATTTAAATAAGGCGACGATGGTGATAATAATGATGGTGATGATGATGATAATGATGATATTACGATATGACCTTTAACCTCGTCAATTTATTGCACTACGAAAAACATAAAAAAAAATGTTCGTAAGAACGCGAAAAACACAGAAAAAAAAACTTTAATTTAATGACGTCGTATTCGTTACGATACTTTTCATTGGCTCCGATTTATTCAGTGACGTAGTAAGTTACGATAATGATAATAAAATTTGCCCTCTTATACGTCATTTTGGCGAAAAAATTTTTTTTCGAATCGTTTATGACGTCATAACCATCAAAGATTTTCAAATGTTGGAAAATTTCCTCGAATAAATTTTTTTTTTTTTTCCCGAAGAAAAAAATCCCGTCGTAAACATTTTAAAATTTTTTTCAATAATAATAATGATGATAATAATAATTTCGATGTGAGAAGCAGAAGAAAATAAATATTTTTTTATATTATAAAATACGTCAGAACATTAAATAAGGTACACGGGATTTGAATATATAATAAAAATTTATTTTTATATCTATGGAAATT